ATGCCACTGCACTCCAGCCTAGGCAACAAGAGCTAAACTGTGTCTCAAAAAAATACAAATACAAATACGAAAAATTACCCAGGTATAGTGGTGCGCACCTGCAGTCCTAACTACTCAGGAGGCTGAGGTAGGAGAATCACTTGAGCCTGGGAGGCAAAGGCCGCAGTGAGCCATCTCCACTCATCTCAACAAACAAACAAAACAAAACAAGACGACAATATAACCGTGCAAGGAAAACCAAGGCTGCATGTTACCCATTTCATCTCTATCATGATGGTCACAAATTGAGAATGTGGGCTTTAAAATCAGGTGGACCTGAATCAGAGTCCCAGCCCGAACCGTCACAAAGAAATAGTAGCCCTAAACACAAGGAATTCCTACAAAGTAACAGAGGACACCCAATAGTAAAATGGTCAAAGGGCATCACTAGGCCCCTTCAGAAGCATAACATTCAAATTACCAAAACCAGTAAGATGTTCATCTTCGACCACTAGGCAGGGAAATATCCAGTGCACTAATAACGATGACAGATAAACCTGTACCCGGAGAGAGCACTGTCAGTGTTACTGAAGGACACAAAAGAAGGCAGGATGTGGAGGGGAAGGCAGGACACTGGTGATCCTGACCCTGTGGAAAGCCTAGGCTAACATGTGTGCTTGTCTTAGTTTTTAACAAAAAAAAGTTTAAAAAGCAATAAAACAAAATTTGGGGGAAAAAAGCTTACAGAATAAGGATACAAATAAGAAAAATATTTTTGCACAACTGTACAATGTGTTTGTGTTTTCAGCTAAATGTTAATACAACAGCCAAAAAGTTGAAAAAAATAAAGTTTATAAAGTAAAAACATTACAGTAAGTGAATATTAACTTTCTAAAGAAAAATCTTAAAATACATGCAGTACAGCCTGTGTACACTTGACAGTGGTACACAGTGATGTCCTAGGCCTGCACGTTCAACCCCCACTCACTCCCTGACTCATCCAGAACAGCTCCTGGTCCCGTAAGCTCCATTCACGGTAAGTGTCCTTTATGGGTGTACCATTTTTATTCTTCTTTTTTTTTTTTTTGAGAAGGAATCTGGCTCTGTCGCCAGGCTGGAGTGCAGTGGCACAATCTCAGCTCACTATTACCTCCGCCTTCCGGGTTCAAGCGATTCTCCTGCCTCAGCCTCCTGAGTAGCTGGAATTACAGGTGCACACCACCACACCCAGCTAATGTTTGTATTTTTAGTAGAGACGGGGTTTCACCGTACTAGCCAGGCTGGTCCTGAACTCCTGACCTCGTGATCTGCCCACCTCGGCCTCCCAAAGTGCTGGGATTACAGGCGTGAGCCACCGTGCCCAGCTTTTCTTCTTATTTTTTTTTTTTTTTTTGAAACAGGGTCTCACTCTGTTGCCTAGGCTGGAATACAGAGGCATGATCTCAGCTCACTGCAACCTCCACCTCCTGGGTTCAAGCAATTCTCATGCCTCAGCCTCCCGAATAGCTGGGATTGCAGGCGTGTGCCACCATGCCTGGCTAATTTTTGTATTTTTAGTAGAGATGGGGTTTTGCCATGTTGGCCAGGCTGGTCTCAAACTCCTGACCTCAAGTGATCCACCCACCTCAGCCTACCAAACTGCTAGGACTACAGGTGTGAGCCACCACGCCTAGCCCATTTTTTTCTTTTCAGTATTTTTACCATACTTTTTCTATGTTTAGATATATTTAGGTCCACAAATACTTCCCATTGTGTTGCAATGGCCTCCAGTATTCAGTACTGTCAGATGCTGCAGAGGCTCAGGGCCTAGGAGCAATAGGCCGTGTCACACAGCCTACAGGTGTAGCAAAATCACCTAAAGATGCATTTTTCAGAACCTTGAGTGATGCATGACTGTAGGTTAAAATGAAGATGATGTGTCAGGGTACTGAAAAGGTGGCTGTAGGGAAGGTCACAGAACAGCACGTGAGCCAAGAGGTGAAAGGCTAGCAGACGTATGCCAGACTGAAAAGAAATAGTCATCCCAATTAAAAAGACTCACTTGTTTGTTCAGTCAATATTTGGATTCCCATGAAGTGGATGACAGTATCCTGGGGGCTGGAGAGTCTATGAACAAGACAGACAAGGTCTCTGTTCTCGAGAATATTAAGAGAGAGCGAAGCAAGACAGATAAACAAGCAAATGAACGAGAAATGCTCAGTTCGTGATTCCTACCACAAAGAAAATAAAGCAGGTTTCAGAGCAAGGAATGGAAGTAATTTACACTTTGTCACCAGGTATAGTCTGAAACAGTAACAGTATGAACTGAAATGACAAAAAAGATTCTACCGTGCAGAGATCCTGGAACAGCATCCGGAGTTTTATCTGACATGAGAGATGCCAGTGGCTTGGCCTAGGGTGGCAGTGACACTCTGAAGAAACGAACAGATTCAGGATACACTCTGGAGGCAGAGCCAATATTTCGGATATAGGGAGTAAGAGGAAAAAGAATGAAGTGTCTTGAATACCTGGGGAACAGTAATGCCGCTGAGTGAGACTGGGAAGACTCGGAGAGGAACAAGTGCTGGCAGAGAATCAAGAGTTCTGTTTGGTCCAAACAAAAACACATTCAACATCAACCAAGAAGTAGAAGGGTGGCTGCCAGGGGTTGGGGGAAGGGAGAAATGAGGAGCTATTGTTTAAGGAGTATGAAGTTTCAGTTTCTACAAGAGTCATGGGGATGGATGGTGGTGATGGTCGCACAGCGTTAAGTCTGTATTTAATACTACTGAACTGCACACTTTAAAAATGGTTAAGATAGGGCCGGGTGTGGTAGCTGATGCCTGTAATCCCAGCACTTTGGGAGGCCAAGGCAGGTGGATCACTTGAGGTCAGGAGTTCAAGACCAGACTGGCCAACGTGGCAAAATCCCATCTACTAAAGATACAAAAATTAGCTGGGTGTGGTGGCACATGCCTGTAATCCCAGCTAGTCGGGAGGCTGAGGCAGGAGAATTGCTTGAACCCAGGAGGTGGAGGTTACAGTGAGCCGAGATCGTGCCACTGCGCTCCAGCCTAGTGACGAGATTCTGTGGTAGGAATCGCTAACTGAACATTTCTTGTTCATTTACTTGTTTATCTGTCACCCAGAGACTCTGTTTAAAAACAAAACAAAACAAAAAAGTTAGGATGGGAAATTTTATGTCATATTTTACCACAATAAAAATTTTTTGAAAAAAAGAAAAAAGATGTCAACTAGGCAATTAGATATAAGAATTTGGGGATTTCTGGACAAGTCTAGGCTGGAGTTATCAACTGAGGGCACCACCAGTATCCCTTCAGAGATCACCTGAGTATTTAACAATGGCCCCAGAGATCACCTGAGTTAGGTAGAGAGGAAGGCAGAGGACGGATTCCTGGCACATGCCACCACTCAGGAGTCCACAAGACAGAGAAGGGATAACACGCGACTGTGAGGAGGTGTCTGAGGTGGCAGAAAACACAAGTCACAGAAGTCTGGTCGCTGACATGATCACCCAGACATCCCAGCCAACAAAAGAGGCTTATCACACTCAGCCTCTCTGTTTGCCTAAGGTGGGAGGGAGGTCATGTACAATTCCCTGTTCTTCCCTTTTCACAGCTTCTGCCAATCCACTAAAACGAGGGTGACCACATAGTTTTATCAGTGTTCTACTAGTTTACGTATTTTATTTACAAACTTGAGCTTTGAGAGTAAAAAGGAGAGCTTTTTATAACCACGTCAGGACAACAGCAAACCTAGGGTTATCCTGAATGTACCCTGGGCTGTAATAACCACCCTTTCTACAAATCTAAGCACTCAACCTGAACTAAACATACTTATGAATGCTTTGGGTCAGACTTCCCACCCAAGCTCCTTGCTGTTTCTCCCACAAATTCTCACCTGGAAGGAAAATGAAGGGGTGCAGTGTGTTGGAGGGATGGAATTCCACCGATCAAGTTATGCACAGAAAGCAGAAAAGGAACTGTGGGTCCTTCTAAGTCGCCCAGGAGGACACAGAGCCCCCAGATTAAACAAAGGGCACCTATGCCAGCGCTGGCCGACCCTGGCCACCTCTCTGTGTCTTCCTTTCTCAGGCTGCAACACGGGGACGCTCCACTTCTGCCGCAAGGATGAAGCGAGCATTTGCACGCCCTCTCTTAGCTCTGGACCCGGCAGGTAAAAAGCAGGAAGGTGTACATAAAAGCAGTCACCACTGCTGAAGGGTCCTCAACTCGGGGTTCGAGACCCAGCTTTGCCCTGGCCTAGCAACCCCTTCTCGCTGCAGACCCAACGTGCTGAGACCCGGGCAGGAATGCACACCTCTCCCCACCCTCGGACGCTCCCGGCAGCGCCGCTGCAGAAGCCAGGAGGTCGGACAAAAGAGAGGAGGAAGGAAGAGGAGGAGGAAGGAAGGAAGGAGGAAGGAATGGAGAAAGGGAAGGAAGGAGTAAGAACGAGGTGAGGAACGAGGAAGGAGCAAAGGAGGGAGGAAGGAAGAGAGAGGGACTTGAAGGAAAATGGAAGGAGGAAGGGAAAGAAGAAGGAAAAAGGAAGGAAGGGAGAAGCAACGGAGAAAGGGGAGGAAGGAAGAAGGCAAGGAAAGAACGAAGAAAGGAGAGAAAGGAAGGAATTAGGGAAGGAAAAAGGAAGTGAGCAAAGAGGATGTCAGGGAAGAAAGGAGGGAGGAAAGGAAGAAAGGGAGAGAGGCAAAAGGGCGGGGGACAGAAGGAAGAAGGGAAGTAAGACGGAAGGGAAGGGGAAGGAAGGGAAGTGGGAGGAAGAAAGGAAGGAAGGAGGAAGGAAGGAAAGGGGCAGGAAGGAAGAAAGGAAGGTAAGGAAAGGAGGCAGGAAGAAGGGAAGGAAGGAAATGAAGAAGGAAGGAAAGGAAGGGGGAGGAGGAGAGGGAGGAAGGAAAAAAAGAGGAAGGAAGGGAGGCAGGAAGAAGGGCAGGAAGGAGAAAAGAAGGGAATGGGAAGGAAGGAAGGAAAGAAGGAAGAAAGAAGGGAAGGGCGGCCACTGACCTGCTTGAAGGTGCTGCTGAGGAAGTAGACGAGCGACAGCCCGAAGACCAGGGCGAGCACCCACCTCTTCCGCAGAAGCCGGCGCCACACCATGGCCGCCAGGTTCACCATCCCGGCGCGGACGTGGGGCGCGGCGGCCGGGGCGCGGAACGCGGGAGGCCCGGGATCCGGGCGGCATGGCCCCTACGCGACCGGCAACCCCATCCCTCCAGGTGGGCGCCGGCCCCACGGCCCGCCGCCCTGTCAGCTCCCGGCAGCCCTGCGCGCCGCCCCACGTGACCCCGCCCTACGCCCCGCCTCCGCTCCGTAGCGTCATGGGCTAGTCGCGCAAGATCTCCTCACCATTGGTCCCCGCGGAGCGGCGGCCTCCTATTGGCTAAATTCAGGGAAAGGGGGCGGGCAATCGAGCTAGTGCGACGGGCGTAGCTGTGCCCGGGTCCTAGCGCCTGGCCGGGCGACGCCGTGAAACCACCGAATAGGAGGCCGGAAGCATCGGAAGTCACATGCTGCCCGAGTTGCGCGGGTGATTGGCTTGGCTGGACCTGAATGATGCGGCTGTGATTGCTGAATTGTCTGGGCAGGTAAAAAGAGAACGCGATGTTTTTTTCTTTTCTCCCAACATGGTCTGTGTAGTCTCCTGCCCTTGCAGTCCCAGAGCGTTTTGCGGTGTGTTGGTTGCAGGGATGAAAAGCGCTCGCTATGTCGTCCCCGAAGTGCACCTGCCGGCTTCCAGTCCAAGTGATGCAGGCGATGCTCCGCTGAATGCATTTCGGTGCAGTCCTGTAACGGGCCCCGGGGGCGTAACTTGAAACATCGCAAGCATCGAAAAGTCTCGGTGCTGTCCTTCAAAGATGCATAGTGGGATGTACAAAGCAGAGGGTTAAAAGGCGTTTCATTCATTCAGATGCATCCCGTGTGCAAAAATTTATTCCAGAATTATGTACGGCCTGCTTCCAACAGAGAAGCCGAAGCCTCTTCCAATACAAGCATCCGAAAGTAGTCTTGAGCATTCGATTTAGGAAGCGGTATTAAATGTGTGGATGAGAACTTTGGAATACTAAATTTTATTTTACCCCAAGGATTTGCAATGTGGGATAATGGGGGCGGGGGGAGGTGAGAGGGAGATTAAGTTGAGATTGTAGATTCTTGAAAAATATTTATGCAATGACCTTTTCTTTATATATGAAGATGCTGCTGCTGACTGATTTGTTACCTAATTTTTCAAAGGAGAAAGGAAGCTTCAATGGCGGGTTGTTTCTAATCAGTGCCCCTAGTGACATCAACGCTGCCCCCCAAGAAGCCAGGTCAGGATTAGGAAGTCATTCAACAGTCAGTAATAGTGCCCTGAACTGATAGTCAGACACTGTCTTTGGTTCGGAGACAAGAAGATATTCACGGAGGCTAAACCTATTCGTAGGAGGTAAATGGCCCTTATTACCTTGCTTGGGTAAAAGGTGGGACAGAGAGCAAGGGATCTAAAAAAGGGGAACTGGGAGACCCATAGATGTTTTATTCATTGAGTAAATACTTGTTGAGTGCTACTCTGTGCCAGACAGTGTCCTAGATGCTGAGGCAGAGGGGTGAACCAAGTAGACAGGATCCCTACTTTCATGAATGGCATTTATATTCTAATGGGGGGGGGAGCAAATCATAAGTAAATAAGCAAACATGAACAAATAAGTACTGTGAAGAATATAAAACAGGGTAGTGTTATAGAGGGTCGGGAGAATGAGAAGAGAAGGCCTCAGGGAGGAGGTGGAGTTTGCCCTGCAGGACCAAGCCCTGTAACATTTAGAGGAGAAAGTATTCCAAGGGGAGGGAACAGCCAGTGCAAAGGCCCTGAGGCAGGGACATGCTGACATATTAGAGGAACAGAAGAGCCACTGTGGCTGGACAGGGGTGGGAAAAGGGAGAATGGGAGGAAATGCAGTTGGAAACTGATGATGCTACCTCAGGAAGAACCTGTAGGCTGTGGACAGAGCTTGGGTTTGATTCTGATTGCAATGGGCAGCCATGGGAGTTTAAAACATATTTTCGGTGTTCTCCAATCAAGACTCTTAGTTTGACAATAGGATGAAATACAATACGTTAAGAGTTTCAAAGAGGGCCAGGCGTGGTGGCTTATGCCTGTAATCCCAGTACTTTGGGAGGCCCTGGCAGGTGGATCACTTGAGTTCAGGAGTTCAAGACCAGCCTGGCCATTATGGTGAAACCCCATATCTACTAAAAATACAAAAAATAGGTAGATGTGGTGTTACATGCATGTAATCCCAGCCATTCAGGAGGCTGAGGCAAGAGAATCGCTTGAACCCAGGAGGCAGAGGCTGCAGTGAGCCAAGATCGCACTACTGCATTCCAGCCTGGGTGACAGAGTGACACTCTATCTTTAGAAAAAAAAAAAGGAGTTTCAAAGAGGGATCAATGAGAGGCTACCCAGAGATACTGAGCAGATGGAATCCATTTGCTTACAGCCACTGGCCATGTCCTAAGGCTTCTTAGCAGATTCCAGGTATCGCAGGGACTGTTCATCCAAGTGTTCTGTTCCATCCAGGTCCAGAGTCTCTGGAGAGCTCCCCTGACTGTGCATCCCTCTGGAGACGAAGAGGAGGGGGAGGCCTGTCCTCTCTGGGATCCAGTGGTCACATCCCCCTCAGGAGCCCCGAATGCCTACCTCCAGTGTCATCATCATGGAGTTCTGAAGTCCATGTGGCTCTTCACAGTGAATCAGGTGACATGTCTCCAAGAGAATTTGCATCTTTATGACTACTTGATTAAATGTGAGAGCTGGAAGGAAGCTTTGGTTTGACCACCCCACCCCTCCCACGTAACACATGGGGAATCTGAAACCACAGAGAGGTTACTGATTTGTCTAGGGTCACACAGCAAGTTAGCAGCAGCATCAACCCAGAATCCATGTCTCCCAACTGCCAGTCCACTGCCCACTTCACTTCATCTGGCACCTCTCGGCTACACAGTTCACTGCTTTATCCTCTCAAATGAGGACTTCTTCCGCCTCTGAGCCTCATCGTCCTCCTCTGTGAAATGGGATGATAGCTTCCCTCATGGGATAGAGTGTCACATTGAGGATGAAATGGCATGAAAGATTGAAACACACTTTGGAAAATGCCAGAGAGCACTAGGGGTCTAAGATACCACTAGAGTGGGTTTGCAGTTTACAATTACCTTGGCAATCGGACAGGCAGTGGGAGTGTTGGGAGACTCTGGCTCACCCCTGTGTTGGGTTTTAGGTGTTAAGGAAGATGCAGAGACGCCACAGCAGCAACACGGATAACATTCCACCCGAAAGGTAGGCATCCCTGCTTCTGTTCCATCTGAGGGCTCTGGGCTTCGGGTGGTAAGGGGCAACCCGAAACTGGATTGAACAATGCCTTCCCCTCAGAGTCAGTTAGAGTCACAGTGACGGCCTCATACTAAACACTCAATACTTAATAGCTTGCTTTTGCTTTTATGCTAAATTTCAAAGTCTTGTGTGACAGGTGAGCTACCTGACTTATCGGATCAATGATTGTATCTGTGGGATTTTAATTTATAGAGATGTCTTAGCCCATTCAGGCTGCTATCACAGAAATACCATAGAATGGGTGTTTGTTTGTTTTTTGAGATGAAGTCTTGCTCTGTCACCCAGGCTGGAGAGCAGTGTCAGGATCTCGGCTCACTGCAACCTCCACCTCCTGGGCTCAAGCAATTCTCCTGCCTCAACCTCCCAAGCAGCGGGGATTACAGGTGCCTGCCACCACATCCAGCTAATTTTTGTATTGTTAGTAGAGATGGAGTTTCACCATGTTGGCCAGCCTGGTCTCAAACTCCTGACCTCAAGTAATCTACCCGCCTCGGCCTCCCAAAGGGCTGTGATTACAGGCGTGAGCCACAGCGCCTGGCTCTTTTCTTTTTTTTGAGACAGAGTCTCACTATGTCACCAGGCTGGAGTATGGCGGCATGATCTTGGCTCACTACAGCCTCCGCCTCCCAGATTCAAATGATTCTCATGCCTCAGCCTCCCGAGTAATTGTATTTTAGTAGAGACAGGGTTTCACCATGTTGGCCAGGCTGGTCTTGAACTCTTGACCTCAAGTGATCCACCCACCTTTGTCTCCCAAAGTGCTGGGACTATAGGCCTGAGCCACTGAGCCCGGCCAAATGGGTGGTTTAAGTAACAAATATTTATCTCTCACAGTGCTAGGAAGTCTGGAAAGCTCCAGCATATTCAGTGTCTGCTAAAGGCCCACTTTCTGGTTTACTGATGGCCATTCTCTTGCCATATGCTAACATGGTGAAGGGAAATGGATCTCTCTGGGCCTCCTTTTTAGGGGCACTAATCCCATTCGTGATGAGCCCATCGCATCACCTAATCATTCTCAAAGGCCCCACCTCGGTCAGGTTTCTTTTTTGAGACAGGGTCTTGCTCTGTTACCTGGGCTGCAGTGCAGTGGTGATTATGGCTCACTATAACCTCCAAATTCTAGGCTCAAGCAATCCTCCTGCCTCAGCCTCCCAGGTAGCTGGGACTACGGGCATGTGCTCATTAAAAAAAATTTTTTGGTAGAAACAAGGTCTCACTAAGCTGTCCAAACTGGCCTCAAACTCCTGAGCTCAAGCAATCTTCCTACCTCGACCTCCCAAAGCCCTGGGATTACAGGAATGAACCACTGTCCCTGGCGTGGGTTAGGTGTCAACTTAAGAATCTGCAGGGGACACAGACATTCAGATCATAACTCCGAGAAACAACACAGAGAGGCTAATGACGTTGAAAGATGAGTTTTTTATTTCTTTGATTTCCCAAGAGGAGGGGGCATACCGCCGTATGCAGGACCACCTGGGGAAGCACCAGTGTTGGTCAGGAGGCAGAAAGGAGCAAGGAAAAAGCATAGGCCACAGCCTTTATGATGTTTTCTGTGGGAAAGACAGGCAAGGCAGGGGAAACCATTTAGGACTGGCTAGTTTGAATGATGTTGGTGGGCTCTGGGTATCAAGGTGGTCTCTCTCTTTTTTTTTTTTTTTTTCTGTTGCCCAGGCTAGAATGCAGTGGCACAATCTCAACCCACTGCAGCCTTGACCTCTCAGGATCAAGCGATCCTCCCACCTCAGCCTTCTGAGTAGCTGGGACTACAGGCATGCACTACCATGTCCAGCTAATTTTTGTATTTGTAGAGACGGGGTTTTGTTATGTCTTCTAGGCTGGACTCAAATTCCTGGGCTCAAGCGATCTGCCCTCCTTGGCCTCCCAAACTGCTGCTCCCTAGGATTATAAATGCAAGCCACTATGTCCGGCCTCAAGTTGCTCTTTA